AATAATAATAATAAAATAAAAGTACATGGAACCTGCCCACAAGCCCACTGAGTGAGAACTTCTGCAATGCTCTTAGGGCCCCAGATCCAGCCCAGCCCAGACCTGGCAAGTATATGTGAGAACTTCCAGCTTTGCTGCATCCAAGGACCTCTCCGGAACAAAATTCAGGCATGCTGTGAGAGAGAGACCCTCTGCCCTGCCCTCAGGACCCCCTTTTTTTTTTAGAATGACACTCTCAAGCCCTCCAAGTGAAGAAGAACTTCTGGAAGGCTCTTGGGGCCCCCCATATCGAGCCCAAGCCCAGGCCTGGCTAGTGTGTGGGAGAGTTTCTGTGCTTCCCTGTTCCCCCTGGGCCAGGGGCACAACAGGGGGGCACCACAGGTTCACTTCCAAGGGCTGCAGCAGGAAGCAGCTGAACAAAATGGCTAGACCCAAGCCAGGCATAACTGGATAAATGCAATCTTAATAGATCTGCACCCTAATTTCAGTAGATGTTAAGGTTATAACAGCACCAAACCTCTACACCAAAGGTCTAAGGTCAGTGCTATATGAAATGACAAGGAGAAGGATAAAAATGCAATCTCAGGCCTCAAGCCCACCCAGAACAACTGCAGAGGACACTAGCTCAGGTGAAATGAATGAATTAACAGCTTTGGAGGTAAAGAAACAAAATCAGAAGGGTATAGAGGAACCCAGAGCAGATCTAATTTCTGAAATAAAAAAGAAATCTCTGAATTCATAGCATCTGATGTAAAGAATCAAATACAGAAACATATAGAGGAAACCCAATCTGAAAAAAACTGCAGTAAAAGAATTAATAACTGCTTCTAAAGAAGACATTGATAAAAAAAAATAGAGGAGATTAGAAAAATGACGGATTCTTTGAATGAGCAATACAGAAAGAAATAGATCACGTGCAGCAGAGTCAAAGAGATATAGAGGAACTTAAAATCTCAATCATAAGACTGCAAAAATGTTTGAGTGAAAGTGAAGACAGAGTTTCAGATCTTGAAGACACTGATGCAGCAAGTGAAAAGGTAAGAAAAGATCTCTTAAAAACAACTAGGATGCAGGAAAAAATAATTCATCACCTGCAAGATGATACAAAGATAAACAATGTGAGACTAATAGGCACCAATGAGAAAGAAGGAGTCAATACAAATGACATTTAAACAAATATGGGCAGAAGTAATAGCAGAAAACTTCCCAAATATGAAGAAACAATCTGACATTCAGGTCACTGAAGCATACAGAAGGCCAAATAACTTCAACCCAATTAGAAACACACAGAGACATACAATAGTCACGATCCCAGAAATCCAGCACAAGAATAATATACCAAAAGCCAGTAGAGAAAAGAAGCAGATCATATTCAAAGGAACACCCATCAGAATTATGGGTGAATTCTCTTCACAAACCATGAAGGTAAGAAGAGCATGGAGCAGAGTACTTCAAGTCCTCTATGAAAACAAATTCCAGCCCAGAATACTATACCCAGCCAAACTCTCTTTCAAGTTTGATATAGAAGTGAAATACTTCCATGACAAAAAAACAGCTAAAGAATTTCATGATGACAAAGCCAAACCTACACAGACAACTCAAAGGTGTTCTAGAGAGGGACCAAAATGTTCAGAACTCCACCAACAAGAACAGAAGGGACTCACTAAATAGGACAAATAATTAAACACAGGAGATACATGAGTAAACAACAGAAGGTAAATAACATGTCAATCGTAAATCAACACATCTTAATTATAACCATCAATGTAAATGGACTCAATTCACCAATTAAGAGAAACAGACTGGCACTGTGGATTAGAAAATAAAATCCAACAATATGCTGTATACAAGAAACACATTTAACTCATAAAGAAATTCATAGGCTGAAAGTCAAAGGATGGAACACAGTACTACATGACCCAGCACCTCAGAAAAAAGAAGGTGTAGCAATCCTGTTCTCAGACAGTCTCAACTTCAAACCAAGAATGATCAACCAAAATAAAGAAAGCCACTATATACTGGTTATGGGAAAAATTCAAGAGGATGAGGTAACACTCATAAATATGTATGCGCCAAACATGGGAGCACCCAACTCTATAAGATGAATCTTAATGGACATGAAAAGTCTAATGTCCAATACCACAACCTTAACAGGAGAGCATAACACCCCCTTATCCCAAAAAGATAGTTCAACCAGACAAAAATTAGCAAAGAAGTAACAGAACTGAACCAGAGCTTGAAACAAACGGACTTGGTGGACACATACAGATTGTTCCACCCAACAATAGCTGAATACACATTTTTCTCAGCTGCACATGGGTCATTTTCTAAAATAGACCACATACTAGTCCATAGGTCATGCTTAGGTATATTGAAGAAAAGAGAAATTGCTCATGCATATTATCTGACCACAGTGCAATGAAACTGGAAAAAATTTCAAAAGAAAGCAGAAAATACCCCTAAATACATGGAAATTAAACAACACCGTACTCAGCCTTCAATTGGTCACAGACAGAATTAAACAGATAATTCAACAATATCTACAATTCAATGAAAATTTAACCACACCTTACTGGAATTTATGAGATGTGATGAAAGCAATTCTCAGAAGGAAATTCATAGCTGTGAACTCACACATTAAGAAAACAGAACAGCAACAAATAAATACCCTAATGCCACACCTCCAACATCTAGAAAAAGAAGAGCAAACCAAACCCAAAGATCACAGACAGGAAGAAATCGTAAAGAAGAGCAGAAATTAATTCAACTGAGACAAAGAAAACAGTACAAAGAATTAACGAAACAAAAAGCTGGTTCTTTGAAAGACTAAATAAAATCAATAAGCCCCTAGCTAGCCTCATCATAAAGAGGAAAGAAAAAATTCAAATACAAGCAATAAGGAATGAAAAGAGTATAATTACCACTGACCCAGTGGAAATTCAGAAGATTACCAATAGCTACTTTGAGAATCTTTACACTCATAGAGTAGAAGACACAAATGAAATGGACAGATTTCTAGAAAGGTACAAATTAACAAAACTGAATCAACAAGATATAACCACTCTCAATAGGCCAATAACAGCCAATGAAATATGAAATGTAATAAAAAGCCTACTGACAAAGAAAAGTCCAGGTTCTGATGGATTCACAACTCAATTCTATAAGAAATTTACGGAAGATATAATCCTTACACTCTTCAAACTCTTCAATGAAATTGAAAAGGAAACAATTCTCCGAAAATCACTCCTGGAGGCAAGTATTATACGATACCAAGACCAGGCAAATACACAACCAACAAAGTGAACTACAAGCCAATCTCCCTCATGAGCATAGATGCCAAAATCCTCAATAAAATCCTAGAAAATAGAATACAGCAAAGCGTCAAGAAGATCATACAGCATGATGAGGTAGGCTTCATCCCAGGGATGCAAGGATGGTTTAATATACTCAAATCTATAAATGTAATGCACTATATTAATAGAGCAAAATCTAAAAACCACATGACCATCTCAATTGATGTAGAAAAAGCTTTTGACAGACTCTAACACTCATTGGAAAATTGGAATAGAAGGCCTCTACTTCACTTTGATTATAGCCAACTGTGACAAGCCAACGGCTAATATAATTATAAATGGGGAAAAACTGAAATCTCTTACTCTCAGATCTGATATGAGACAAGGATGTCCTCTATCACCCCTCCTATTCAATATAGTTCTGGAATCATTAGCTAGAGCCATTAGATAAGAGGGAGAAATAAAAGAATAAGAATAGGTAAAGAAGAAGTTAAATTATCATTATTTGCAAACGACATGATACTTTACTTGGAAGACCCAAAAACTCCACCAAGAAGTTACTAGAATTGACACACAAATTCATTATTATAGCAGGACAAAAAGTCAATACCCAAAAGTCAATGGCATTCCTCTACACAGATAACACCCTGAGAGGTAAATTAGTGAAACAATACCTTTTACAATTGCACTGCAAAATATGAAATACCTTGGAATTCATCTAACTAAAGAAGTTGAAGATCATTTCTTGGAAAATTATGGCGCTCTGAAAAAAAGAGATCATATAGGATTTCAGAAAATGGAAAGATATTCCCTGCTCCTGGATAGGAAGAACCAACATTGTGAAGATGGCCATACTCCCAAAATTGTTGTATGGATTTAATGCAATCCCTATCAAACTACCACCAACATACCTCACAGACCTAGAGAAATCTTTCCTAAAATTTATTTGGAACCAGAAAAGACCTAGAATAGCAAAGGCCATCCTGGGCAATGAAGACAATGCCAGAGGCATTACAATTTCTGACTTGAAATTATACTACAAAGTTACTGTGGTAAAATCAGCATGGTATTGGCAATGAAATAGACTCTAGGATCAATGGAACAATTTAGGTGAGGTAGAGGCCTTTATTAACACACTCTGCCACCTGATCTTTGACAAAGGGCCAAACACTCTTAACGGAAGAAAGATAGCGTCTTTAACAAATGGTGCTGGAAAAACTGGCTCTCTACATGCCGAAAACTAAAACTTGACCCAGCTCTATCAACATGAACTAAGCTAAAGTCAAAATGGATTAGAGATCTAAACATTAAAATAGAAACACTAAATCTCCTGGAAGAGAAAGTAGAAGGAACTCTTGAAGACATATGGGTAGGCAAAGAGTTCATGTTGCATTCAGGCTATCTGCCCCAGGCTGGGGTACTGCTCACACCCACAATCCCAGCAGCAGTCACACCTATAATCCTATAACTCATAATCAATCATGAGTTAATCACAAACTCTAGAAGTCGCTCCACAACTGCATGATGCTTTAGGGGGACAACTAGACACAAGCCATAACAAAAGAAAAAAAGAAAAAGAATAGGTGGTGAATATAATAAACATAACAGTGGATTAAAAGATGATAAATGGCAAAGTATGTATCTGTCCATTTCCCTTTAAACAAAATTTCCAAACAGGAAAAATTAACCTATGGCATTAGATACTAAAATGATTTGGAGTTGGGAAGATAGCTCAGTAGAATAAGTGCTTTGCCTAGCAAGTGCAAGGGCCTGAGTTCAATCCCTGGTTTCAAAAAAAAAATCTATTAGAATGATTATTACCTTTTGGGGTAAGTTTGTGTTATTTGATGGACAACACAGACTGTGAGGGAAAGTAAGGAAAAGCTCCAGGAAAGAACAACATTTCTGCATGTTAATCTATATCACGCTTACATATGAGTCCTCATACTGAAAAGTTTACCAACCCATATGCTTCATATTAATGCTCATAATCATTTTTGTGTACATGTTAATTCTCCAAAAAATAGAAATGTTGAAAGGCAATGACACATAAATATGTAGAATTCTATTTAATATAATAATTTATGATTATTTTAATACTTCCAATAGAAGCATTGAAAGATATTTGGAGGGCAGGCAATATAGCTCAGCAGCATATTGCCAGCCTGGAAAGCACCAGGTCCTCAGTTTGACTCCCAGTATCAAAAAGAAAAAAAGAAAGAAAGAAAGAAAGAAAAAAATCTACTTTGAGAAGTCAATCACCACATTATGGATTTACATAGTATAATAGAAAATGGCTATAGGAATTAATGAAAATATGAATAAAAGAAAATACATCCAAAAACAAATGTAAGAAAAAAATCCTCAATCTATTTTTTTATTTTTATTTATTTATCTTTTTATATATAGTACAAGGTCTAAGGGGTACAGGGTCTACAGGGTCTCACTGTGCAGTTTGGACTCATAGTGATTCTCCTGTTTTCAGCCTCCCAAGTGCTGGCATTACAGGCGCGCTACAATGCATGCCCCGTCGCCATTGCTGTCTCAGCGTGCCCTGGGGCGGGGCCGGCTCTGCACGCAGGGCATCGAACCCTTCCATTGCGCTGTGCCTCAATCTATTTTAAATGTTTTGTTTTATTCTAAGCAAATAAATCCCAGTTACGGTATTAGACATTGTTGACAATTAATGCACAGATATATATTTCATGTTTAAAAGTATCCCCAGTTCTTACACAGAGATATCAGCTTGGAGATACATAGCCCAGGTATACATTGCTCTTATGTCACACCTCTAGACATTTTGGCAATATAAATGAAAAGTTTTAAAATAATACAAAATACAGTGCTTTAGGAATTTACATAAATTTACTTACATAAAGACATTTTAATTTTTACATGAGCTTGATCATAAAATAGATATGGGTATTTAAAATTCTTTCTCTTCCTTTTATCTGCAATGCTTTGAAATGTAAGATGTGCTACATCTTTAATTAAAATTTTATATCTAAATTCTACAAATAATACTTATGAAAAATCCTTACTTATGTGTTGCTAAGGTTGTTTCATCCTTATGAATATCTTTATCCATTTCATCTTTGCTTTCTTGAACTTGCCATTTGGCATTTTCAGAGTCTTGCGAAACCAGTTCAAGTTCTTCATGAACTTGTTTGAATAGCTCCATCACCTAGAAGGAAAAAATATTCTTGCCGATGCATGCACTTATGTGTTAACTAAAGAAAAGACTGTACTTTAGGATACTTGAAACGTAGGGAAAAGGTCTACGCACACATTTCTCCCCACAGTTGGTCTACTACTTAGAGAAATAAAAGTTCACACACAGAGGGATCAATGCTTGGCATAAATTTGAGTATCCGGATCAATGGGTCCAAAATAAAATGCTACCTTTTCAGATAACAAAAAGGTTCTCCTTTTTGTTGTGAAAATAATTTTTATTGTACAAAATGATGCAAACAAAGCTGAACAAAGAAATTTAAGAAAATCACCCATATTCCCTTCAACCAAGAATAACAAATCATGATACTTTGTTAATGGTACAAAATATTTAAATTTACACTCTCCATTAAGAAACATAATGAACATTCTATTATCTTTTCCTTTATATCTCCCTGTCTGTCCTCTTACTGGTATCACATTTACGTTATAATCTCTTATGATACACAATCTGCATTGCTCAATTCATTGTCAGTTCCATGAACATTACCCACAACTTGGGAGATCCATAACATAAATATTATTGCAATGAAGGCCATAGAGAAGAGCTGCACAAACTGCAGGTAGCTGCACATATTCAAGTAATATCTTCAAAAGTACTGTGAAAAAAGAATATGCTGAATCAAAAAAGTAAGGTTTACACTCTAGAAAAGGAGCAATAACTTGTATGCTCATCAACAGAAGACAGCCCATCTTCACAAAAATCTTTTCCAATATTTTAAATGATTTTTTTCTAAAAATAATTTTCAAGTAGAAAACTGATAAAGCTTGTCCAGCTTAATTTCACTAGAGATTGACATTTTTATATAATGATTTTTGGATGAATGACAATTTCTATGATAATAAACCTTCCTGTATAACAAGCATTTTTCTCTATTCTGTCTCTTTATATTTCTTAGTACATTTATAATTATAGTCTTATCTGGCTCTACCTTTTACTGACTATTTTTGTTAATATGACTTTTCTATGTACATGTTAACCATTAAGTCAGTATGGAGAAATACTACTTCTATTCATTTTGAGAACAGTATATTGGGGATATTATTTCTATAAATTCAACCGTGTCTTTTAAAAGTCTTCTACCTAGTATTTTAGTTCTAATGTAAAAATTTGATTTCATTATTTTAAAATAATTATCTCATTTCATTTTTCACATCATCAAAGGTCTCCAAATCAATGTTAGGTTATATGTTAAATATACTTAATTTATTTTTATAATTCCTTGAAATGATTGTAACATAAATGATTATCATGAATACCAGTGACTTTTGGAAATAGTTTTTTAATCACATGCAATGTTTTTTCTTTGAACTTTAGTTATTTATTTTTATTAGCTTTTAAATTATAACAAATACATTTTAAGCATCCTTTTTTAATAGTGACAAACATTTACTAATTCACAAATTACAAAACATTTCCACATCAGTATCTCCTCTGATGCTCAACTTATTTTTGCAAAATATGGACTGCATCCACATTTATAGATTAAGTAGGCAACTACTGGTGTAATTTCATGTGCAAGATCACCTAGCTATTGATAGAAAAAGAGCTCTAAACTAAGGGTGTCTACCTCCCAATTCAATGACCCTGCTGCTTTATTGTTTAGAAACAATGAAGGAGAAAGTAAGTGGTTAGTTTTAGTTCTTTGAAAATTCGAACTGAGGAATGAAGAACTGCCTCTTAGCAGATATGACTTACCTTTAACAAAGTGACTATAAAGTACCAGCCTCAAGGGGGGGGGACTTTTAAAGATCTGGGGGCAGAGGCAGTTGGCATTTCTGGGGCTAGGAATACTAGATGGCTGTGAGAGCCAGAGGCTCCTCCCTGTCCCTCTCTTGCTTCTTTTCCCCTTTTCCTCCTCTTTGTCCCCTTTTTCCTTCTTCCTCCCTTGCTTTTTTCCTAAGGATCTTTATCATCCTCCACTTGACTACCATGCTTCCTTCATGAACACTGTCAAATGGTCAGCTACTATTAAGCATACTAAAAATGTACTCTAACAGGACACTGCATGTTAATACTGAAAAAGTCTTACAAACATTTGTGACATGCTAAGTAACACAGGAGATGGCCATTAAAATGGGGTTCTTTTTTTGAGATGAATAGGATAGTGCCATTGCTTTTTCTAAAATTTATTTTAGTGAGAAAATTTAAGCGTCTTTTGAATACATCATATTTTTCTTTTATTATGCTGATGCATCAAATTACATACCCATATTTTTGCATTGTTGAGTCCTCTCTGCCTTGCTTTAGTAAGTCATTCTTGGGTTGATCTTATTCTTTAAAACTTTATTTCATAAATGTTTTATGTAATATGTTCAATTATATATTGATTAGTAAATTTTGTAGAATTTCAATAGGATTCCAGCATTGCATATGTGAGACATACTATATTCGTTCATTCATTCATTCATTCATTCATTCATTCATTCATTCATTCATTCATTTGGTAGCAGGAACCAAGTCAGGACCTTCTGCTTGCCAGGAAGCTGCTATGCTGCTGAGCAATATCTCTTGCCCATGAATTTAATTTTTTTTTCTCTAAGACTAGTAGAGAAGATGCAGAGGATGGGAAAAGAAGGAGGAAAGAATGAAAAGATGAATGGGGCAGCAGTCAAAGTAGTATATACAGGTTAGATGCTAAGACAATCTCACTATTCTGCATAACTAATAAGTACTAATACATTTTTTTCCTATGGATTGGTTGTGTAAAACAACATTAGAATGCCTTATTCTTTACAGGATAAATCAAATCCAACCACAATATCGAGTATAGTATCCATCATTGATACTGTACCATACTACATGTTGATATTTTGACTTGGACTTCAGCTTTGTTCTTGGAATATATATATATATATTCAAATATTTATGTGGGTATACTATATTTTAGATAGCTTTTTTTACTTATTAAATGAGATCGTATTAGTAAGCTCTTCATCTTTCAGACAACATACTTCATACTCACAGTTTAAAGGAGTAGAAGTTTATTAGGCTTGAAGTTTGTGGTGGGTTCAGTCCATGGAGGAGGACTGCAAGGCAGAACTGTGTGGGAGAGAAAAGCTGCTCAAGCTGTGGCAGCCAGGAAACAGGAGGAATGGGACATGGATGGGATGCCTTTCCAGGCCACATCCCAATGCCCCTCCAAGCAAGGACTTGTTAGATCTCACCACAGCAGGGAAATAGACCTTTTGAGTACCTCTTTTTGAATATATACTTTTTAATATACTTCACTTATATTTGAAGTAAAACAGTATAATGTAAAATACACAAAAGTACATAATTCCATGGTGTCTAGCACATTCTCTTTGTTTTGTTATCATATTTTTTGTCTCATTCTCATGTATTTTCATGGCCCCAAAGAGAAACTCTAACCCATATACAGTTATTCTTCCATCTCCTTGTCCTGTTTCAAAAGATTAAAAGATTCTTTTGGAATCAGTGTACATAAAATGACCCTGGGATACGTAAAATGCAAAAGTCTTTGTTACTTATAGATCTACATGACAGGTAGTTGCCAGGCAAGGGCAATAGACAGTTTCACTGTGGGCCAGAGTAACAGCCAGATCTGTCCACAAAGCCAGCTCAGGTGTGGCATGCCAGTGGTTACCTAAACCTGAGGGGATTCCTATGGAGTGGCTAATCTGAGCAATTTAAGCAGGACCTGAGCATATGGACTGTCCCTACTTGTTGGGGACTTGTTCCTGAGGAAAAGATGGGCCAGTTATTCGTGGTGTAGCCTGGATCCACTGCAGCAACCAGCTGCCAGGTCTGGCCCCCGCCTTATTTCCACTCAGATCTTCACCATTCCCTTTGTCCGGATGTTGAGGTCAGCATTCTCCTTGTTTTCTGATTTCATGTTGTCTATAATGACATTAGTGTTATGAGATCTTTTCTTTAAATGCAAGTGTTTGCAGCTAAGAATTTTCATATTAGTACTACATCCCATAAGTTTTGGTACAGTTTGTTTTTAATCCCCTTCATCTAATTCATGCATACACTAAGCCCATTATGCTTTTATTACATAAATTTTATATATTAACAGTGAACTGCCCAGGTTAAAAAAGTACCTTACTATCCTAATAACCTGTTTTAAAACTGTCTCAATGCTATTTCTTTCTCAATAAAATTAATATAAAAAAGAAAATGTAAAAAAATAAAAAATACCTCAAATATAACTCAGTTGATATTTGTACACGTGTACTGATATCGAGGTTCCATGCTCTGGAACACTATTCTTCAAACGTTCTTACAGTCTCTCTATAGTATTATGTCTCTCTGAGGAGGTATTTGGCAATCTCAGTGTTCTTAAATCTGCATTTTATTTTTGAAGTTGGTCAGTTACGTTCATTTTGTAAGCAAAAAAAAATGTGCTTTCTTCCACCTTATGGCCCAAGGTTTTCACATTTTGGCTGTACAATATTTATAACCTTTCTTAATAGTACCTCAACCGTTTTATGGGAATTATTTTCCCTTGATTATACACCACAGTA